GGAAAATTTTGATTCCTCATAAATTGCTGGTGGGAGTGTAAGATGGTGCAATCCTATTGAAAAACATTTTAGCAGTGTCTAAAAATATTAAACATAGACTTACTATATGACCAGAATCTTCATACCTAGATATTTAGCCAAGAAAAATGAAAATGTATGACCATACAAAACTCGTACTTAAGTGTTCATAGCAACATTATTCATAATGTCCAAACAGTGGGAAAAACTCAAATGCCCATCGACTTGATGAATGGATAAACAAAATGTGGTATATCTATACAATGGAATGTTAGTCGTCCATAAAAAAGAATGAAGTACTGATACATGCTATAACATGAATGAACTTTGAAAACATTATGCTAAGTGAGAGAAACCAGACACAGAAATGTACATATTGTATAACTCTATAGGAAATGTCCAGAATAGGCCAGGCGTGGTGGCTCAAGCCTGTAATCCCAGCACTTTGGGAGGCCGAAGTGGGTGGATCACCAGGTCAAGAGATCGAGACCATCCTGGTCAACATGGTGAAACCCTGTCTCTACTAAAAATACAAAAAAAAATTAGCTGGGCATGGTGGTGCGTGCCTGTAATCCCAGCTCCTCAGGAGGCTGAGGCAGGAGAATTGTCTGAACCCAGGAGGCGGAGGTTGCAGTGAGCCGAGATTGAGCCATTGCACTCCAGCCTGGGTAACAAGAGCGAAACTCCATCTCAAAAAAAAAAAAAAAAAAAAAGAAAGAAAATGTCCAGAATAGACAAATTCATATAGACAGAAAGTAGATTAGTGGTTTCCAAGTGGTGGGGGAGGAAGGAATGGAGAGTACCTGATAATGGGTACAGGGTTTCTTTCTCAGTGATGAAATTATAGTGGTGATGGTTGCACAATTTTGTGAATATGCTAAAAACTACTAAAAGTACACTGAAAGATAATTTTTAAAAACTGTTTAAAATGCAGTGAATAGCATGTTACATATGTCATTTCACACATGTGCTAGTGTATGTGAACAATAAATTATTAGAAAAGGTATGGCCAGGTCAAAGGAGACATGAAACTTTAAACCTGGTTGACATTATTGAACCTCCCTACTCAGGGATTTTAAGAATAAATTGTGGCCGGGCACGGTGGCTCAAACCTGTAATCCCAGCACTTTGGGAGGCTGAGGCGGATGGATCATGAGGTCAAGAGATCAAGACCATCCTGGTCAACATGGTGAAACCCCATCTCTACTAAAAATACAAAAAATTAGCTGCGCATGGTGGCGCGTGCCTGTAATCCCAGCTACTCAGGAGGCTGAGGCAGGAGAATTGCCTGAACCCGGGAGGCAGAGGTTGCGGTGAGCCGAGATCATGCCATTGCACTCCAGCCTGGGTAACAAGAGCAAAACTCCATCTCAAAAAAAAAAAAAAAAGAATAAATTGTTGGTCAAGTGCTGTGAATTACGCCTGTAATCCCAACACTTTGGGAGGCTGAAGTGGGCAGATCATGAGGTCAGTTCGAGACCAGCCTGGACAACAAGGTAAAATCCCATCTCTACTAAAAATACAAAAATTAGCTGGGTGTGGTGGTGGACACCTGTAATCCCAGCTACTTGGTTGCTGAGGGGGTATAATCATTTGAACCCAGGAGGCGGAGTTTACAGTGAGCCAAGATTGCACCATTGCACTCCAATCTGAGTGACAGGTCAAGACTCCACCTCAAAAAAAACAAGAATAAATCGTTAAAAATTTCACAGCAATGATGAAGCATGTCTTTTTAATTCACAACTTTGCCAAAAAAGTGTGACTGAGCATTTGAAGTTTTGCCAATATGATGGGTGATGATGTCACTAGGTAGATTTGCTTCAAAAAAGAATAATATTTTTATTGTTTTTATTTTCAAAATGTGAATAATTTGAAAGAGATTACAAATATATACAAAAAGAAAAAATAACAGAAAAATCCCATAATACAGAAGTTATTAACAAAATCTGGTGAATATCCTTTTGGAAATCTCTTTATATGCATTTTGAAACTATTATTCTAAAATAAGCTCTAACATACATACAGCAAAACCTATAAAGTGTACAACTTGATTTTGATTTTTTTATATAAACACCTGTCATTGCTACCCATATTAAGATATAGAATATTTCCGCACCCTATAAGGTTCCTTGGTTGTTCCTTTCACTTTATATCCTTGGAATTAATCAGTATTCTTACATCTTAATCATTGATTTGTCTTGTCTTTTTCTGAATTTTATATATATGTAGGTTGAGCATCTCTAAATAAAAAAAAACTTGAAATGCCTCCAAGTTTGAAACTTTTTGAATGCCTACATGATGCCACATGTGGAAACCTCCGCACCTGACTTCATGCCACAGGTACACAAGATTATTTAAAATTGTGTAAAATTACCTGTAGGCTATGTGTATATATAGAAACATAAATGAATTTTGTTTAGATTTGAGTCTCATCCTCAAGATATCTCATCATGTATATGCAAATATTCCCAAATGTGAAAAAAGTCCAAAATCCAAAACACTCCGGTCCCAAGCATTTTGTATGTGGCATACTCAACCTGTATATACAAACATACCAGTGTTCATGCCTCTCATCTATCACTTACATCTCTATGAGAAACATCTATGTTCTTGCCCACATCTATACATTTTGAGTCAATTTTTTAATTCAAATAAAATTATTTAGAATAATTTTAGATAAGCAGAGAAATTGCAAAATTAGGACAGAGGGTTCTGGTGGTCCCCAGCATCTTCTATCATTAACATGTGATTTTACTGTGGTATGTTTGTCACAGTGAAGGAACCAACACTGGTACATTACTATGATCTCTGCTCTGCACTTCATTTGGATTTTTCTTTTTCCATTTCAGGATCCCATCCAGGTCACCACATACATGCAGTCATTGTGTCTGCTAGGTTCCTCTGGGCTCTGAGAGTTTGTCCCCCTCCCTGGTTTTGATGGCCTTGACAGTTTTGGAAAGTCCTGCCCAGATAATGTGTTGAATGTTTCTTATTTTGTTTTGTTTTTTTCTGTTATTTTTCTTTTGGTTAGACTAGGGTTTGGAAGACCACAGAGATAAAGTGCCATTCTCACCACATTGCATCAAAGGGACATGCAATCAACATAGCTTATCCCTGTTAATGCTGACTTGTTCAAACAGTTGCAGCAGTGTTGGTCTAGTTTCTCCGCTGAAGAGTAACCTTTTTTACTCCTTTCCTCACTCTACTCCCTGGAAGAAGTTTCTAAATGCAGCCCTCCCTCAAAGGATTAAGAGTTAAGCTCCACCTCTTAAGGGAGGAGTATCTACAAACATTAACCTAAGGAACATTCATTTATAGTCCTGTGAAAGAAAAGGGCTCTGAGATCAACTTGGAAGTTTGGAAAACACAAAGTGACAGGAAGCTAGACGTGTTCCTTCACCACATGATTTCACTGATTATTATACTAATGCACATCGTGGTACTCCAACTTGGGATATAGAATGCAGAATTTTGCAAATTTATTTTTAACTACAGGAGCACCACGCCCCCCCCCAACTCCACTTTTGTTCTTTTGGTCCCATTGTGATCTAAAAATGTTTTGCAAACCTCATAATTATCTGGGAAGCTTATTTTAAAATACCAATTCTCAGTAAATCTAAATTAGTATCTCAAGAGACGGGATATAGGACTTTGGATTTAAAAAAGCAGCTCCTCTAAGTGATGCTGCTGTATTTGACCCACAAAACGTGGGACTCGAGAACAGGCGGCCCATGCTGTCCAGAGTTCAAGAACCATAAAGACCCCTGGACTGTCCTATTCACCTTTGTTTCATTGATTCAACAAATATTGAAGAACTCTGGGCACTGAGGATTCTGAAATGAGGGAGATGCACAATGTGTCCCCAAAGTCTGCTCTCAGGTAGCTCATATTCTTGTAGGGAAAAGCAGTTCCCATTAAAATTTCAGCAGATAACCACGTCACAGGTCAGGGGATAATAAGTGCTCTAAAGAAAAGTAAAGCAAGGTACATGTGACAAACAGCGGCATACAGGATTTTCAGGGAAGATCTCTCTCATGATGTGACATTTGAATGGATGTTGTCAAGAAGTAAGGCCACATGTAACGAGGACATCTAGAGAAGGATTGTAAGAGGCAGAGTAAACAGCAAGTGCAAAGGCCCTGAGACAGGAGTGGGCTTAGCACCAAGGAACTTGATCACTGCTCTGGAGACCTGAACAGGGAAAGAAAAGAAGGCAAAGGAAGAACATGCAGGCCAGAGGGTAGAGAACAAACATACCTATAGGAAGGCATAAAGAGACAATTTAAGTGGGGACATACAAATACAATGGGAAAGTGGAGTCTCTGCTGGGACCCTAAGTCCCATAGTGGGGACTTCAAGTGCCTTTGAACTCCAGGCAGGGATGCTTGGAGTATATCTGTAACAGGAGCCACTTCTTTTATGGACAAAAAGTGGTAAAATTTTATCCAAGATACACTAGGTTTTGTTTGTTTTCTAGGTTTATTTTTGTTTTTATTTTGAGATGGAGTTTCACTCTTGTTGCCCAGGCTGGAGTGCAATGGTGTGATCTGGGCTCACTGCAACCTCTGCCTCCCGAGTTCAAGGCATTCTTCAGCCTCAGCCTCTGACAGCGGGGATTACAGGTGCCCGCCACCACACCCGGCTAATTTTGTGTTTTTAGTAGAGACGGGGTTTCACTATGTTGGTCAGGTTGGTCTCAAACTCCTGACCTCAGGTGATCCTTCCGCCTTGGCCTCCCAAAGTGCTGGGATTGTAGGTGTGAGCCACTGAGCCTGGCCCCCTTTCTAGGTTTTGTATGCTTTGTGACAGGATAGAGATGGCAATGAGAGATAGCAAGGTACTTACCATCGACAGACAAATGAACAAATCTTAACCACAGAGCTACCTAACATGTTTTGTGGAATAAGACAAGAAAAATTATCAATCAATTACAGCTTCACTAATTATGAAATACCACTGCGTGAAAATAAAATCTGAATTACCTTGCACATGCAGAAATGATTAAGCACACAGCAAGTAGGATTGCCTGAAAGCAGACTTCTTGCAACAAACTAGTTTCTAAGAGAGAGAACAAAAATAAATAAATAAGAAATCATTGCTGATTCAATCATCTCGGAACAAGAAAATCATCTCAAACTTCCCTTCTACTCACCAAAAACAAAAAAAGTTTTTGAATGTATGTCAGTTTCAAGTGTTATAAATAACAAGATAAAATTACCTAATGTTTGACAGGGCTGTCGATGGACAATTTTCTGCATACAATTGCTTTCTTCAATCACTGTAAAATAAAACTATAAAACTATTTACACAGTTTAGGTCTTGCCTTTTGAGTTCATTTTGGGGAAAGGCTTTGTAGAGTTTAGGATAATGAAAGAAATCTAACTCTGCGATTGTGGTGATTATAATAATAGTGTCTAAAATCTGTAAAGTGCATTATAATTCACAAAGAGCTGTCACACCTTAGCTCACTTAAACAGCACCGCAACCCTGTGAGGTGGATGCCATTATCTTAGTTCTGCAAAGAGAACAAGACTAAAAGAAATGATGGACTTGTCTAAGGTCACACAGCTAGGCGGTGTGTGTCCAAGGTCACATAGCTAGGAAGTGTCACAGCCAAGATTAAATATCCACATCTAGACAGAACGTAACATTTTGTCTGAAGTGGGCAGGGAAAGACAATTGCAACTTTGTATACTGGAAGTCTGTAAAGACCAAAAATGAGAACACATATTATGAAACATTTGTCTTTGCAATCAGTACAATATTTCAGTACTGCCAAGCCGCAGTAGAAACTACAAATCATCTGGCAATTATGGGCATAAGAGTTAAACCAATCATGAACTTTGGTATTATTCTAATCACCTTACACAAATTAAAACTGTTTTAAGGGGTACCATATAAAACTCTAAAGGAGAGTATAAACAGATTTCAACTTAATTTTTGTCAAATGCTTCAAAAGCTTAATTTTGAAACAGTTGTTTAAAACTTGGAATGGCTTTATGTTATGAATGTATTTATTTTTGCTATTTATGCCATGAATGAGGATTGAGTCAGATAACAAAACTTACTTAGCCCATAATGCGGGTGGAATACTGAAGATTGGCAATAATTTACTACTGTGAAAATATCACAGTAGTACATTACGTCATTGCAAATGTACAGTTGTTCATGTACATTGTGAATTAAGTTATTGTGAGTTCAGTTGAACACTCAACCATCCTCCTAAAGTGTGTTTCTATTCTTAGTCTCCCCTGATTTCATGTGGAATTTGGAAAACATTTTCTTACAGAAAGAAATCCAGCTTGAAAAACGCAAAGATCACTAGATTTGGATACTGAAGGATGAATGGGTTTAAGTTTGAGATCTATGAAGATGACTTGTGTGATTTGGAATGAGTTATTCATGGATTCCTTCCTTAAGTAGCCATTTGCTGAATACCTCCTTCAGCTCAGCTAAGGTATAACCTCTTTCAGGAAGCCTACTTTGATTCTACTAGCTCCTCCTTGGCCCTTAGCCGCTCCCTCCCTGGGCTCCCGTTATACCTTGTTCATATCTTCATTAACTCTCTTTCCACATTGAATTAAAAATTCTGTAATATTTGGCTATATTCCTCCACTGGACTGCAAGCTCACTGAGAAAATAATCAGTATCTAGTTCCCATTCTCCAGGGACAGCGCCCATATTTTCCTTGCGGAATCACCTCTCCCCACCTTTGGTGCACAGTTTGGGTGAAGTGACTGAGTTTTTCTGATTTTCCTCCAAGCATTTTTTTCCTTTCAAGCTTTGCAGAGTTTCACATACTTATCAACAAGGTTTTGTCAATGTGAAACAGGCCTTTCCAGAACCAACAAATCAATTACCGACCTCTTGTCATTAGTCTAGACAGATGTAAGCTCTGTCTGCTGAACAGGAAACTGGAAAGGTGTAGGTAGGCACAGAGCCACCAGGATCCACCATGGAAGGAGGACTTTTTCTTTTCTTTCTTTATCTTTTCTTTTTCTTTTTTTTTTTGAGACGGAGTTTCACTCCACTGCCCAGGCTGCAGTGCAGTGCAGTGCATGATCGTGGCTCACTGCAGCCTTGACCCCTCAGGCTCAGGTGATCAACCCACCTTGGCCTCCCAGGTAGCTGGGATTTTAGGCATGCACCACCATGCCCAGCTAATTTTTTTAAAAAAATTGGGTCTCACCATGTTGCCCAGGCTAGTCTTCAACTCCTGGGCTCACACAATCCTATCACCTCAGCCTCCTGGGTAGCTGGGACTATAGGCATGAGCCACCATGCCTAGCTAATTTTTGCATTTTTTGTAAAGACAAGGTCTTACTATGTCACCTAGGTCTTATTATGTTACTGGTCTGGTACAACCTTTTAAAGAGTAACACAGATACAGAAGAGAAGAGAGAACAAAAAACAAAGAATGGCAGGAACCTGCACTATAAACCTGGGATTTTCATTAAGATGAGTCAATACATTCTCCTATTGCTTGATCCACTTTGAGTTCGGTTTCCATCCACTGGAACTCAAAAATCTTCAACTGATACAGATGATGTACCTACCTATACCCTTAGCACCTGGAACAGAACACACATGTAAAACCTACACGCAAAGGACTTAAAGGAAGATGGAGACCTTCTCCACCCAGGACTTTATAGCCCAGTAAGAAAGAGGAAAATAAACGGTTTCTATAGTGGAAAATAGAAAGCCAGAGAATTGAGGGGAAGTGAAGTGCTAACACCACCAGCCAGAAAGGGGTAGAGAAAGTGCATAGAGGAATTCTCATCTAATTAGAGCCTTGAGGAAGGGTAGGGGAGCCACCCAGGTATAGCAGGTGGGAGAGATACTCCAGACACAGCAAAGAGCTTATATTTGTTCTTACAAAACTCTGGGCAAAGAGTAGAAAGGTTAACTTTACCTGTCTGAATCTGAATATTTTTATCTGTAAAACAGAGGTAGCACACTTATTAATTGTTCCATCAGCCGTAAAGCATTATCTCTGTGCCTATGTGGGCATTTTGGAATTCACAGATGACTATGACCTAGTTCTCATATTTAAGGAGCTCACAGAAGCAAACATACAGTAACAGTGAAAATAATGGGCATGAGAAAGAGAAATCCTGGGAGCTAGAGGAGAGCCAAGAAGGGTGGGCTCCCTGGAGGAGGTAGCTATTGAGCCTCCTTCGGTGTTAATAACCTGTCATTGCAACATCTGGAAAGGGAACATTAAAAACAAACAAACAAACAAACAAACAAACCCTGAAGATTTATCTAGTAGCTATACTGGGAACACAATATAAAAAGCACACTGATCTTCAGGAAAAGTGAAGGCCAGTGAAGTGAATATTTATGATTTTGTGAAATAAAATAAAGAGAAAATATTTTTTCCATTTAACTTCAACTTTATGTAACAGTAACTTCACATTTACTGAGTATTTAGTAGACACGACACAGTATGCTAAGTACTTTACGTGAGTTATTCTAGTCATTACAAGGTAGGAATTAAGATCATCTCCATGTAGAGATAAAAATGTTAAGTTTGAGAGGGTTTGGTAAACTGCTTCTGAGTTATAGCTAATGGGTAGGGAGCTGGGCTTTTAATCTCAGCAAGCCAATGACAAAGTGAGCTCTCTTCACCTTGGTGCAGCACCATGTCCAAACATGTTTATTCTGACATTAGCAAACTAGAGATTAAGGAACATGCTTGCTGAATTTACACCAAATGTCTTTATTATCTTTTGACTTTCCATGGCTCGGGAACATAAAGGATGTTCTTTTTGTTCTTTTTCTTCTTCCTCCTCCTCCTCTTCCTCCTTCCTCCCTCCTCCTCCTTCTTCTTTTTCTTTTTTTGAGATGGAGTCTCACTCTGTTGCTCAGGCTGGAATGCAGTGGTACGATTGCAACTCACTGAAACCTCAGCCTTCCTGGTTCAAGAAATTTTCCCTGCCTCAGCCTCCCAAGTAGCTGGGATTAAGGTGTGTGTCACAATGCCTAGCTAATTTTTGTATTTTTAGTAGAGATGGCGTTTCACCATGTAGGCCAGACTGGTCTTGAACTCCTGACCTCAGGTTTTCCACCCACCTTGGCCTCCCAAAGTGCTGAGATTACAGGCATGAGCCACTGTGCCTGGCCTTTTTTTCTTCTTATGTAGTATGTCCACTACACAGCTAAGAATTAAAATAGCAAACATCTGGTATCTTCCACTCTGCTTTATTGAAGACTAACATTTTACAAAATAGTCTCAGGATTTTCTTTTTAATAGAACACTGTGGATCCAGTGCTTCTGGTGCCTCTAACATGACACTCAAAGGCAGTCATCTCCTCTGCAAAGGGTCATTTGTGCTCTAGCAGAGGCCCCGTGTCCTCCCCTTTTCCCACAGTTTGGTACCAGCTCCTAAGAGCACATTAGTCATTCTCAGGCTCTGAAAGGAAGAATTCTTTGAATATGGCAAAGATTTTAAAAACCTGAACTCACCTGAATGATCTGAACTATTCTCTTGGAAATGTTCAGAAGCTGTCAACTGGGACTGAAGAGACATGTCGTGGAAGTTTCCTCCAGGAGGTTGAGATACGATGTGGCTGGAAGAGGTTATTGCAGACTCTGCATTCATCTTCCCTGACTCCCAGTCATCAGGCAGAGAAGAACAGTCCAAATCACCTCCTGGAAAAGCAGAGGGGTTCAGTGAAAGAGAGAGAGAGAGAGAGAGAGAGAGAGAGAGAGAGTTCACTGACTCCTCAATGCACAGTTAGTTCCTAATATTCACAAAAATAGTATCATTGGTACACCATTGCACTACCATAGTGGAATGGGAGAAGGATTTCTGGATGAGTTAGTCTGTTGTCATGTTGCTGATAAAGACTTTCCTGAGACTGTGTAACTTATAAGGAAAAAGAGGTTTAATAGATGCACAGTTCCACATGGCTGGGGAGGCCTCACAATCATGGTGGAAGGCAAGGAGGAGTAAAGTCTTGTCTTACATGGATGGTGGCAGGCAGAGAGAGAAGAGCCAAGCAAAAAGGGAAATCCCCTATAAAACCATCAGATCTCATGAGACTTATTCACTATCATGAAAACAGCATGGGAAAGACCCATCCCCATGATTCAATTCCCTCCTACCAGGTCCCTCCCACAACACATGGGAATTGTGGGAGCTACAATCCAAGATGAGATTTGGGTGGGGACACAGGTACACCATATCAGATAGCATTTCAATTTGTCATCATCTTTGAAGGTTGAAGAGAAGTATCCAGTGGAGTATCCAGTTGAAGTAAACAGAAGGTTGAAGAGAAGTATCCAGAGAAGTAAACAAAGGCCAGAGGCATCTTCAATGACATAGAGGTTTGTATAGGTGGATTTGAAAGATGTGTAGTCAGATGAACCTCATATCTTTATACGACCAAACTTGAGCAGTCAACTCCTTCTACTTCTAATTCATTTAACATTTATTGAATGTGACTATGTATCAGAAACTGACCTAGCTGCTGGGATATAGTGGTGAATTAGAACAACATCTCTTTCCTTACAGACTGCTGGGGGACAGGGGAGAAAATATCTTGTGATAAGTGTCATGAAGGAAATTCTCCCTCTATAAAATACATTGAAATGCTGGTTAAAATATAGCAACCATCTGTTTAAATTTTTTATTCAAAGAGACTATTTCATACATACATAGCTTCAAGAACATGCACCCATTTTCTTCTATGATGATTCATACATAAATACATTTTACTGGCCCTAAACTTAGCCTGACATTCTCACAAAAAAGTCAAGTTTATTGCAAAAGCATGCATGCAACATCAGGTGTCAAACATGCTAAGATGACTCCTCATAACAATTGGTGCCTTCAGTGTGAGGTCAAAAAGGAATGAATTTTAATCCTTGATTCTTAGTTTGAGTCAGAGATTAAGGGATCCAACACTCCCCAAGCCAAAGCTTCCTTGGAAAGGATGAATGTGTTAAAAATGCCTTTCAACAACAGGGAGAGTTAAGCACCACACCTCTGACTCCGCCACTGGAAGTCTCTCATTTGGTTCATCTGGCATAAATGTACCTAGGAATTCTCTTGGTTCTGTCTTGAGTGCTCTGTATTACATTCCAGGGTTTAACTTTACTCTCGTGATCTTGGGTAAAAATTCGAGCCAGTTTAGAGCTCATTGACTTGGAAGCAAAGCCACTCAGAAAAAGTAGCCAGAGTCCTCCCTTGGGATGTAGGTACTTTCCAGGTTGACATCTAAAAGAGATCGCACATGCCCAACAAATGTTATTTTTCTTTAACTCTATAGCTGAGCTCAAAAGAAGGAATTATTCCCAAAGGCCAAGCCAGGGAAACCTAGAACTCTAAGTATGTTCTGTGGATGAAGCTTCCAAAAGGGGTTGGGAGAGGGCCTTAGAAGTCATGGTAATCAAAAGTATATGGATTAACTGACATTAGGAACAAGACAAAGACCTTGATGTCAAGACTGACAGAAAATTGAAACTGATAGGACTCAAAATGCTACTTCCTCAATGAAAACATGGCTAGGAAAAAAAAAAAAAAAAAAACCTGTGCACTAGTTCTAGGAGAAGGCCTGAAAGCGTATCTCTTTTGGCCTAGGTAATGAGTGGGAGGAAGTGTCTCCCCTAACACTTTATAAGAAAGTGGGTTTTGAGTTAAAATTTGTACTGACCTGAGAAGTTAATATTTTAAAAAGTCCCAAGCTGGTACTAGCCCTGTGACATCTGCCGGAAGCCAACATAAAAGCTCTCGGTGAAAACACACTGTAAGCCAATCTGCAAAGATTTCCCCGGATAAAGCCCAAAGGACATGAGCTCACAACCTAAAATTATAAATTATACAGAGAGATAATCTCCCATGGGTAAGGAGAATAAATGTGGTTCTTCAAAAAAAGATAATCCTGCAGTGGGAGATGATGGAGTAGCCATGAGATTACTGTCTGGCTTTAAGCTTTGAGCAGGAGGCACGGTGTTTGTAGAAATTGTCTTAATTTATTTTACCTTGGGGGAAACTCTGAAGACCTGTAAAATTTGTGTTTTTTGTTTTTTGCGGTTTTGTTTATACTCATAGTATGTCCTTATTTTTGCTTCTTGTCTAAATAGGACAATTATTTCTATGGTCCATCTAAGCTTTGATTTCATGACTAAGGGAAGTAGGCATATTGACTTGGCAAATATTTGGCAACCTTATAAATTGTAGGACACTTAGATGGGAGGCGAACAAGGGAGAATAAGACACTGTCCCAAAAGAAGTTGAAACCTAGGTGGGCTGTGTGTGTGTGTGTGTGTGTGTGTGCGTGTGTATACACACGAGTCAACAGTGGGAATCGATCAAGAAGGCATCACTTATGGACAGGGGAAACATTATCATTTGCTAAAAAGAGATAAAACGTGGTTTGGTAGAAATTTCAAGGACTTTGGCATCAGAAAGATTGGAACATACATTGTTATACTAGTAACAGGGCAATTTGCTTAATTTTTCTGACCCTGAGTTTCTTCATGTAAAATAAGACAGTAATGTCTACCTTTTTACAGCTGTGATCAGTGAAGGAGAAAAGGCAAAATTGTAAACATCCTAACATACAGTATAGATGGAGAGAATTGAAACTTCCATCACTAATAAACATTATAATAGATGTGATCCCTAGTTACATGACCAAACAGGATAGTCAGCTTCATGCAGAGTGGGGGGTGGTAGGAAGGTGCCGATGAGTCATCAAAGGATGCTTAAAGGTGGAAGGGATTTTAAAGAATTTATCATTCTATAATAAAAGGAGCTTGTTACTTGACCTTAAGAAAGGTAATATTTACTTTGAATTAGATATACAGGAAATTGCTATACCATGAAGAGATTTCTAAACTTGCCCAGACATTTCTAGGCACAAGCTTTATCCCATATGGCTGCTTATTTGCCCTGACTTCACTGTAGGACAGACTAGAATAAAGTGCCCCAGTGGAGGGAAAAGACACCTCTCTGCCCCCTGCCCCATCACAGAGCTGAATAGGCGTAGTGAGAGGGTATCTGGGAGAGACCAGCTGGACCTAGTGGAGAATAGCCACCACTCCGGAGAAGGGTTTAGAGACAGGGACAAGAGAAAAACAGGGAGGAAGAAATGAAAGAATCCAAAAGGTGATTTTTACTGTGTAGTAGGAAATTCAAGGGGAACAAACAGGGGAATCTCAACAGCTCAAGATAATAAATAGAAACTTTCTCTGCCTTGATTGCTGTCATGGAATGTCCGGAGCATAAAATGACTAAGGAAAGATATCAACCAGCTAGGAGGAAAGACTGAGGCAGCCCCCAGGTGACAGTCCCAGCCATAGGAGTTAGGAGGTGGAGCAAAAGTAAGCAGAGAACGAATGTAAAGGATGCTGCGTGGATACAGGCCAGGAAGATCTATTTAATCATTCAATGCAGTTATTGCATATACTGCAAATGCTGCCCTGGACAAAGGCAGTCAAATTAGATACTGCTCTGCCCTACTCATGATCTGGAGAGGGACAGACATGCAAATGAACAATTAGGATGCAATGAGGTAATTGTCACAATGAAGGCTGGAACAAGTTATCAGGTGGGAGTCTAGGAAGGGGTGTCTGAGTCTGTTTGGGGGAAGTCCAGGGAGGTTTCACAGGAGGCAGTGATTCATGAAACTGGAAAGATGAGTAGGAGTTCTTCCACATAGAAAGCAGGAAGAGGACAGTTCAGGCAGAGAGGAAGAGGGTGCGTGTGGATAAAGAGAAATGACAAGACATCCATTTGTGAGAGATCAGGGTTGATTCCCAGAAGAGGGTTTTCCTGTTTAGCTAGACAAGAGCATGTGCATGAAGTCAGTCCCAGGAGATTATTCTGTCTGGGCTGATAAGCAGAGGTCACATCGTGCGGGGTCTCATGTCACAATCCAAGCCAAGATTGACTCTGTGGGCATTTGGAGTCATTAAAAAAATTTGAGCATGAGTGTAACATGAAATGCTTTGTGTATTGAAATGCTCACTCAGCATTGAGAGATTTTTAAGATTCCCAGTCTCCCATTCTAGGAGCTGAGTGACTACAGGGCTCTAAGAGACACTGGGGTCCTCATATAACAGTAGTTCTTAATAAGGGGTGAAATATGCTTCCGGGGGACATGGTACAATATGTTGAGACAGTTTATGTTTTCACAACTTGGGGTGAGGTGAGGGTTGTTATGGGCATCTACTGAACAGAGGCCAGAGATGCTACTAAGCACACAATAATGCACAGGGCCGGTGCCACAACAGGGCATTACCTGGCCCAGAACACCATGATGCTGTGGCTGAGAAACCTTGTCATTGAGAGAGCATACCTAACCACCTAAGGCAACTACATCATTGAAGTCCTTTCGACAACTCTGGTAGGTGCTTCGAGTGGGGATCACGTGTCTGTATTTTCCTGGTTGTGCTTACTCTAGTCTAAACACTTTGTTCTCTCCCTTCAGAGGACAGATCATAATTTATGATTTTATAATTGTTACAGAAATACAGACAATACAATACATAATTTGTGTGATTTTTTGGTTATTGAGTGTCTGCTCCCTCACTAGATGAAAGACTGTGAGAAAAAGGTCACTTCATCTGTCCCAGACACCAGCAATTAGTACCCAGCTCATAGTCAGCATTCAATAAACTTTATGGAGAATTCGGTAAGAGGT